TGGCCAGGGGCATCGGGGCTGGCTGGGCAGGAGTAGTTCTGGAGGATTTGCAGGCCAACGGGATTCGAAAGCCAGGCAGAGCGAACAATCACAGAGAGCCACTCAGCTGTAAACCATCCAGCAGCCTTGGGACGGACACCCCAGGCGGGAGGGCCGTGTTGCCGGGAAGGCGCCAGCGAGGCGACGGCCTCTTTTATTTCTCGTCCCATCACAGAGCCACGAGCGCGAGGCCGCACGCGCGGGGCTGGCAGGCACACGTCTACGCTGAACGGCTGGGATGTGGGTGGAAATGAGGGCAGTGGTCCCTGAACTGAGAGGCTGGGATACTGTCCCACATCTGGTTCTTTGCAAGCCTATCTGTAATACAGTAAAAGCTGTGTTATTCTTGTCTTCCAACTGGGAGGTTCTAGAATATCTCAGCCCCGAAATTAATCTTCAACCGGGAAGGGGTCAGCGTAGTGGCAAGGCTGGGCCGTTCTTTCCTGGGCTCGGCGGTCTAGGTACGTCTGGTCAACCAGCGGACAGGTCGCTGTGGCATGCATCGCTGGTGGCTTCGGCCCGGATGAGGTTTGTGCTGGTGCCCCGAGAAGGCAAAGTCTCCGTCCTGGACACTCATTCCTCTCCCCCTGGGTCCACCAGGGCACTTCGTGAAGATGGGCTGCGGGCAGAGCTGCCCTGGAGGAGGGGTGGGGGGCGGTCTGGAAACCCAGCCGCTTAAGCAGCACTGCTTTGGGAGCCTGACCCCGCATAAGAGGAAGGGGTGTCCTGTTCGCTTTCCCAGCCACCGGAAGGCTGTGGCATGCTGGAGTCCCAGGACCCCAGGTGACTCTGAGACAGAGTTCTGGGAGGTGTTCTGGAGACACAGTGACCCATCCCCTCCCCCATGCCCGGCCGGTACTACGGGGCAGCGTGAATTGACTGGGCTAGCCTAAGGCGTCCTGCACCTTTAACAGAGCACGGCTCTGGGTAGACTGCGAAGCGGGGTCCACCCCTTCTCTTCACCTGTAAAGTGGGGAGAATAGCTGGGGCCCCCTCCTGGGCTGCCACGAAGGTTGAACGCACAGTGTTTCACACAGAGCCCAGCGCGTGCGCGAGCGCACGACACCTACTGCTGCTATTTTTGTGACGGCAGCTGAGTCTTGGGCCGCACTTTCTCACCTCCTCCGTCCATCTCCTCCCCATCTTCTAGAAGCCCTCCTGGAGACCCTGCCTTCGTTATACTTTCCCCGCCCTCTCATCAAATAACACGGCTCGGTGGAAAGCACGCCATAAATTCAAGGTAAGGTCTTCTTAACTGAGGCCTTTCCTTTCTGGGGTGGTTTTCAGTTTCGTAAGCGACCACCTGCCTTTTAACTGGAGGTGAGTTCAGACCAGCGACTGCTGGGTGGCACGTGGGCGAACGAGTGGGGGGCTTGTCGGGGCCCCTCCGGTCACTCTGCGGGGGCCATGCTGCCGGTCCTGCCCATGCCTCGGGCCCTGCCACCTGCACGAGGGGCGGTGGGGCCTTCCCTTCACACTCCGCCTTCCCAAGGAGCACGAAGTGCCTCTGGAGCAAAGGGCAGCAGGAGCAGGGCCTGCGGCCTGCACCCCCCACATGCACAGGCCACTGTGAACCAGTCAAAGGACTCTTCAGGGAAGAAAGGGCACGACGTTTCTCCCCAAGAATTAATCAAGGGTCTGCACTCGATACATCAGTGAAACCAAGCAACAGCCACCAACGTCCACGGAGCACCACGTTCAGACGCCGCTGTGAAGATGACAACAGAGAAGAAAGAGCCCTGCTTCGGAGACACCAGCGGTCCTCAACCAGGGAAGGCTTTGCCCCCGCCCTGCAGACATCTGGCAACGTCTGAACTCTTTTTTTGGTTGTCACGACTGGGGTGGGTAACCACAAAGAGGTGTTGGCCCCGAGCTCCACAGGGCTGTGGCTGAGGAACCTAGAATATTCCAACCGCGAAGCAAGGCTCAGTGGGTCCCAAGGTCAGTGCGAGGGCAAAGGTGGAGGCCAAACAAGGAAACCAGGCAAAACAGCCAGATCTGAGAGCAGGGAATGGAGAAGCTGCAGCAGCTCAAGACAGAAGTCTCGTACGCAAGTGTTACAGCCTCGGGGGACTTGGCTGTGAGCAGAACATCCTTGGGACCCCGATTAATCAACACCCACTGCCTGGAAGGTTTCAAGCAAATCTATTTTGGGTGCTCCCAGCAGCTGGGACGTGTGCTTTCTCAAATAGAGGTTACTTCCTTCACTGGTTCCTGGTACTCACTGACTACGCAAAGATGAGCGAGAAGGAACTTCTGGGAAGAAAAATAAAAGGAGAAGAGAAGTCCCTAAGAGGAAGAGGACGGCGACATGGTGAAAGCTCTCCGCTGGCTGGAGACCCATCCTTCCGGCTCCAGGCCCGTCCGCCTGTCCTGTGAACACCACACAGCCTCTGTGCGACCACAAGGCTCAAAGGAAAGGCTGACACCTTCCCCTGAGCACCTTCTGCAGAGAGTACTCGCAGATCACCTTCCAACGAGAACTTCTCAAAGCCAGGGCTCCACCGCCAAAGAAAAATAAAAAACAAAGTAAACGAAGAGATCCCAAGGTCGCAGAAGGGGGACCACGTGACCATCAACACGGAGGAGCCTGGGGATGGGATGATGCTTGAGGACGTGAAGTTCTGAAGCCGTGTCCAGAGGAGGCTCGGCCTAAAAGGGCTGCGCAGCTTGCGAAGCCCGGGGTGGTGACGCGCGGACGGAAATCCTCGGCATGTAAGCTGCGCGCCGTGACCACGCTGCTGGCGGGGGCCAAGCGGGCCAAGGGGGATGGCGGAGCCCAGGTCAACCCCACCCCGAGCGGGCAGGCGGCGGCAAAGAATGAAAGCTCTGTGACTCTGAGTGGGTCTCGGCAAGCCGTGGGGGCGGGGCCTGGAAGAGCTGAGGGCGGGGTCCGAGGATGAGCTGAGACCCAAGGCTCAGAAGGGTATCTGAGCCCGAGGGGGATCGCCCCAGACAGAAGACGCTTCCCCCAAGAGGCGGGGGGAGCTCGGCTGCTTTTACCACCGGTTTGGCTCGATGACAGTCAGCACTTACTTTTCCACCACAGAGGGTCTCCCGGTGCTTTAAAAATGAGCGCTCCACAACTCAGCGAGCGAAATCAGGCCGGAAACAGACAGCAGCCTCCTTTAGGTCAAATTGGAGATCTTGAACTACTTGTCTTTCAAGACGTTTGTGCAAAAAACGCAACTGTCCTCATACCACCACCCGCGCCACCACCACCCACTGCACGGGATAATTAAACTCAGGGCCCTTTGGATCCCTGGGGAAAAGACAAACAGTGGCTTTAACCAGCTCTTGTCTTTTACGGTAGAGTCTCCCGGCCACCTGTGAGCCAGTCTCCCCGGGGCCATCAGCCCGGCGGGGAATGGGTCTCGGGAGCCATCTTGGATCTGAGAGGCAGCCAGAAGAGGCCTGGGGACCGAATGGGGGGGGTGCAGGGGACACCAGGCAGGCTGGCATGTCCACGGCCTCGGGGCTCTCCGCCACCTGAGGACACAGTAGGTGAAGGCAGCACTCGCTAGCTGCGAGCAGAACCCCACGGCTGCGTGTTGCTGCCCCAGCTCCGGAGGCCACCCACACCTTTTGCCAACTGAAGCTGCCAGGATGCCCGCGGGACGTGAGGTCCCCACGACTGGTTGAGACAAAGATTCAGGGCGGGAGGGCGGAGGAAGTGGCCCCAGCACGGCTGGGCCAGCATGTGCGCCCGGACAGCTCCTCTGGCCATCCCTGAGACTGGACGACCTCCGTGTTCGCGGTGACGCACTTGACACCAGGGGGAGATGGGGGGTACGGCGGGGATGAAGCACCCAACCAGAGGCCAGGAGCCGGGGTCGGCTTGGGCAGCACGCGTGCCTCTCTGTAAAGATAGACGGGGATGCGAACACCCACCTCCCACGGCTGTTGTGAGGTCAGAGGGACGGCATGTGTGCGACCCTTTCTAGATGACCAGGCCTGATACGGACCTACGACGCCACACGCAGTGCACGTGCCCGGCGTGGAGACGGCCACCGATTACAGGCCAAGGACGAGTGGAACACTATTAACAGTCTATCTCCTGCCGTAGCTCTGGATTCAGGACTTCACTCCTCTGTTCTCTGGACGCTCCCACCCATCTGGTAAAATCAGCGATGAGTAAAATGAATCCAGGAGAAAGCGGGATGGCAGACGTGTGGCAAAGCCCCGGGTGGGATCTGCGATGCGCCGCTCCCCACCCGCAGCCCCGCGTGGCGCACGGTCGGTCGGCTCACAGCCTCTGCACCTTTGCGGGGGGCCGTGGGGAAGGGACGGAGCCTGAGCCGGGCTGTGGACCTCTCGGCTGTGACTCTTACCTGGCAGAGGCCACCGGGAATGCACCACACATGTGCGGGTCTCAAGCCTGTGCCTTACGCCTTGGTGTCTCGGTGACGTAGAAATTAACCTCATGGTCACCGGCGTGGGACTTAGGGTGAGAGTAAGTAGCTCGAACACGCTGCCGTTACAGAGCAAGACGCCAAACCGACCCCGGGAGAGCACGAGGGTGCAGAACGAAGCCAGAGTAAAGGTGAGCAGCGCGGCGAAGGAGAGAGGAAGCTTCGCAGGGTGGGGACCGTCTGCGCCGAGGACCAGACGCAGCTGGCTCGTCTTAGGGGAACCGTCCCCGCGTCCCGGGCCCCGGTCTGGGGAGCTGACCTCAGCCCCGCGCCGTGGTCCCCGTGGAGGGGTGGCGAGGACACGGCCAGCGATGGGCTCGTATCCCCGACTCTTCATGTAGTTAAACCAGCGGCAGAAAGGAGCGGGCGCCTCCTGGGAGGTCACGCCCACGCCAGCGAACCGTCCAGCGAGTGGGCTGGACCGCCAGGCGGCAGCCGGGGGTCTGCCCTTCCTAAGATCAGCATGCTGGGCGGGGG